TTCTTTAAAACTCCTTCTACAATCACCCTTACTCCAGATTCTCAGAACCTTCACTGATCAGCCACATTCATAATGAACCTGAGGCATCCAATACTCTTAAAGACAGTACCCTAATTAGCATAATGACAGGACCTATGATTGTGTCTGGCTGCAGGATAACCTTGCTAACAGCGAGATTCAGATAACTGATCAAGGATGTCAACTAGGCTGTGCGATGGTTCTACCTCCTGTTGATGAAGATCACCTTGTCAGATGAGCTGGTGGTGGAGACTCCACCTGGCTCTGCAGGTGAAGAAGAGAAGCCTCTGCAAAAAAGGCATTACGCTGGAAGCTTCAACTTCACTACATTGAAGTTGAAATGGCAGAGGAAAGCAGCAGCTCCTCAAAGTACATCTCTTAAGAGATGCATCTGTGATTAATGTGGTATGGGGAGTTTTTACCAGCACCAAAGCACAAAAGACGGGACTTCATGAAGTCTTCCCAGGTCTTTCAATTGCATGCAATTATACCACTTAAATTTGGGTATTTTTCTTTACCAGAAAAACAGATTAAGCATTTAGGGCCGGGTACCTCTACAAGGCAGGATGAATTCCTCACGCCTGAGCTGGAGCATGGAACCTGGTGTCCCTCAGCACACACAGTCGTAGGAACCGTCACGGCGTTGTACTGACGGCAATGCCAAAGACAACTTGCTGTGGAGCTGATGAAACACAGCAGTGGGGTGCCCTAGCTCAACAGGGCAATTTATAGGAAATGGCATTGGGTGTGCACCCACCCTGTATTCTATGTACCTCTAAGGAAAAAGGGAACAAATACTCTTAAGTCCTGACTAACACTGTTTATGCATACTTGGACTGCTACTCGAAGATGAACATCCTTCTTTCTGATATGGAGGAGGGGCTGTGAAATGGGACAGGCATGTGCACTGGTTAGTAATATGCTTTGGCATCCATTAAGGTAAATCTGTGGTGTGACTAACGGCTTGCTGAATCAAAATGAAAGGACCTCAATAGACTGAGAAAACTAAGTAAAAAAGATGCTAGGGATTATATCCATCAGTGGTAATGAAGGCACTCCATGACCATTTGGTAAGAGATTTAAAAATGTGCAGATGTGTGTGAATACCTGACCAAGAAAATACTACATTCGTTTATTTTTTGGTTATGAACCTGCTAAAAGTTGCCTATGCTTTATGGATGGTAATTTCATTTCCTGACCCAGAAAAAGACATCTGTAAGTTAGGCTAGGGAGTTATGTTGTTGTTGCTATCTTGATTTATTTAAATGGATATATTGTTAAAGAAACTCTGTACCTATCCCTGTGTAGTAGTCACATAGAATAGCACTTAGGAACATCTCAGTCATGTATTTTCTGGTATCACACTACAGGGTTAATTGTTGAGATCAAACCTATCTTCTGGTGGTTCTGCTCCACCTGAATGATCCAGAGCAGCTGTGTGCCTCATTTACCTGGCAGGTTAAACTGACCTTAAGGCTAATGGAGCAGGAGAGCTGAAAGGTTCTTGTTTATCTGACCCAACACATACTGTTTCAAGGGTTGTGTAAATACTGAGATGCATCTGATATTCTAGATAGATTTCTACACGAACTGCCTGCTTGCTGAAGCACTGAAAGAGTTGTAGCTGCAAGTGATTAAAAAATTCTCTGTCAGGTCAATTAGAAAGAAAAAAATTAGACTTAGAGGGACACATTAGGCTTCTTTTAAAAGCTCAGTTAAAGAATTAACATATAAATCTCGATGTCGACTACAAGTCACCCACGACCTGCACATTTTCAGTCAGTAAAACAGAGTTTATACTGAACTTCAGATTTACTTACAGGAAAATGGACCAGAAGGAAGACAGTACACAGGATCTAACAGTCTCACAAAAAGAGAAAAGAAAATGGTACACAGTGTCAGGAAATGGCTTAGAAAGATAACTCCCATCAAGGAGGTACTCGGGCATGTAACACAGGGAAGAAATCAGGCCAGCCTTTCTTCTGCACTGGCTCTTTTCAGTCTGTGTATTGAAAAAGTCTCACAGAACTCTACCTTTCATATGCCCTTAAAAGTACTGATTCAAATATTCAATATAGGAAAGCTATTTCATTTTGGGAGATGACTGTGTTTAAAGAATGAACAAGACACCTTCCAACATACACTGTTAACAGTTTTGTTATTGTACAACACATCTGCATGTAGATTTCAAGTGAGCATCACTTACTTGCTCTGTAAGACACCTGTATTCATGAGATACGAACACTGACAATTTCCACATACTCTGCTTTGACAAGACAGGGCCAAGTACCTCAGTAGGATCAGTTCATTTTTTATCAATTCCTAGAACTCAAAATCAGCTTTTTTAAATAAGTCTTTAAAAACCCCTAGAAGTTAAAAAAAAAAAAAAAATCTAAGTACATACAAATAAAAGTGCTTCTGCCCTGAAGAGCATCGAACATCACACACGCAAATGATGTCAACCAATACAAACCAAAATGAAAAGACTGTGTGTATAAAAATTTCACCAATTGTCCAATTAAAACATTCTTTCCCAAATCAAAGCACATGAAGACTCAAGAAAATGTGAGAAGATAACACAAAATAAAAATCCAATCTGAAAAAAAAATCCTGTTTTTTCTAGAGGTAGTTATCAAATTAAAAACATCTTTCAGCATCTGTAAAGTATATTTACTGCTTTGCGTTTATTTTAAATATAAACATGATTAATTTTTATTGCAAACATACTAACTTTTACCATCATATATCACCACTAAGACTCACCTTTTTAGTGCAGAGTTAATCTTACAACTAGCAGATGTGCCTCAGGCTAGCTAACTAGTGATTTTTGTAACACTGCTCAATTGGTAGATGTTGATTGTGTAAACATGTAAGTAACTGATATGCTTTAATATTAAGAAAGAAGAAGGTGCAAAATCTCACTTGCAGCATTTTAGCAACAAATTAACAAAATCTGACTTCCCCACCAAGTGCAACATGGAGTGTACTTGGTAAAGTTACAAAATAATGTTGCTCACTGGAAGAGAGTCTGGATGCAAGATAAAACCACTTTTCCATTCCATACTTCGTCTGAGCATCAATATCCTCTATTTTCTTACCATTAAAAAATTATCACCTTTATCAAGCTCCTGCAAGTATGCTGTATTACAGTAAGAGCAAACAAAGCAGAATGTTAGACGCTGAAAGATGCCACGTTCTAGTGGCACAGAAACTACTCTCCAAAAGGCTTTTCCTTGAGGACCGTGAGATTTGCTTATTCAAATGTAGCACCAAGGCCATCTGTTCGGTTCTTTTCTTCCCAAACCAGCCTTACGTAATACTAGGATTATTCCGTATTGATTTCTTGGAATTCAGGCTGCTGCATCTATATTAAAGACAATACTTTTTAAAAAGTAGTATCAATGCACATGCAAACAATGTATTCTTTCTATTTCTGTATCGCCAACTGATATATGTACGTATTTAATAAAATGTAATATGTACAGTTTCTATAGATATGTGTGTGCGTGAGTGCGCGCACAGATACACATTTATTACTCTGGCCACAAATATGTCAGTTATATGCATCATTAATTATAACACTGAAATGCTATAGTTTCCCTTACATATTTTATTCAAAACCTAAATTATTTATTGTGTCAACTACAACCAAAGCTTATTGTTACATGCACATATTACAACTTCCACGTTTCTCCCCTGAATTATGACCCTTCTTTGCATTATCTGTGTATTCACAATAAAATTGCTGTCTTCTGTGTGGGTGGCAATGACTGTTTGATGTAAAAGGACTGCTTTCAGTCTATGATGAATAATCATCTAAGTCCTTAAACAGATGCAAAAGCTAATATTGTCACCAAGCTATTTCTTAACACTACCAAAGACATTTACTGGGTCACTTACTCCTTTGTGGCATTTCAATAAAATAGGTCCCCTACTAGTACTGCATCTTAAATGTAATTTACCACGTCAAGATTGTTACACGTAAACACATTTGCAAAGTTGTGGCTGTGTAACCCTTTGCACAGGAATGCTCCATACTAGAGCAGAGGATTTGGACCCTCGCATCCAAACCCTAGCTCAAACTGCACAGCAGCATTTGGTAGACAAATTGGTTACAAGAACATTCACATCACATGCTACAAACAATGATTTCTACATGCAATCTAAACCACATAGTTATAAAGATCACATTGTTTATGGGCAGTGATGAGGAGCCTCACCTACTCCTTGGCCCACAGTCTTAAGAAAACAGCTTTATAGCCACTAACTCCAGTGGAGAGATCTATATGCAAGAGAGTTCAAGGAGGCAAACCCCTGCTTTTTAAAACATGCAGTTCACTATTAAAACAGTATAATCACCTGAAACGAATATCATAAGCTACAAATATAAGCTGTAAATTCATTCTTCCTAGATATATATGCTGCACATATAGCTTTGCTAACTTAAAACCAAATTCTTATTGGTACACACATTGCCTAGTACAGACATACCCTCCCCGACATGAAGGATAGAAACTATTGCAATAATGTGTCCCATACACAATGTTCCTCAATTCCAAATAAAAGAAAGCTTATGATTTTCTTTGGAGAAGAACTCTCACCAATACAATACTGCAGATAGCTGCCAGCTGCACTACACTTACCTAAGGAAAATAAACAAACTTACCTAAAGCACCTTCCCTACAGTACCTGTTTGAGACACCTTAAGCACAACTCCCAACGTTAACTACAAACAGCTACATAATTCAAACGGCAAACAGGTAGGGACTTCCAAGTGACTTCAGATTTTTACACCTAATTTTTATATAGTTACAAGAAGGCAAAAGGATGCAAGTTTGCTACATCATTCTGAGCAAACTGAACACCACACAGTCCATTTTATCATCTGTTCAATTTAAAATTATCATGTTTATCTAACCATAAAATTTATTTTATTTTGAAGAACAGGAAGAATTCTTTAGATACACCACTTCAGTACTTACGGGTAAAATGACTGGAAGTGGATGGATTGACACTATCACCACTGTCAGCGCTTTCACTGCTAGAAATGTCATCATCTGATTCCCGCACAGAGGAACAAGGTGAGGAGCCATCAACTTCTTCAAACTTCCTCTTTAAAATCCCACTCATCACTGCAATGCTGTCACATGCACCTGTAACAGGAACAGAGGCAATGAGGCACTGAAACATCCAACTGCAGAATACGCAGTCATAACCTCCAAAGTCATTTTTACTTAGAAGTACCAATAAGATGCCACTTCTAGTCTTGAATAACCATTTAGTATGAAATTAGATATAATTAATAAGGAGGCAGTGAAACTATAGAAAAGGAAAAAAAAATCCTAAGTCATACTCTAACTTGACATGTAGGGAGATGGTTATTTTGCTAGAATAATGTGTACGTTGCTTTCAGGAGTATTTTTCCCATTTTTATGTCAATAGCATCCCTGATTTCTAGGTTATGTTGCGAAATTTCAAACAAGGAAAAAATGGGAATTTCTCTTCAAACATCCTCACTTGGTCCCTCCCTTGGCTGCCACAGGAGGAAGGAATGTTCACAATCAGGGATGAAATTAAATAAGAAGAAATCATCCTGAACACTACAGTTCCCATTGCCAAATACATGTGATCTAATCAGTGTTCACCTCACCCCTATAAGAAATCCATCTGGTAATTCCAATATTATGGACAGATAAAAGACAATGCAGTCATAAGACCATATACCAATATAGTGCTCAATAAATGCCTGGAATTCAGAAATTCCCCAGTCCAGTCAGAGGCACCAATTGCCTCCCAAACTCTCTCCTTCCCACATTAAGAAATGAGAGTCCAGAGGTTGAGAAGAAGATTATAAAACAAAGTGTTCGAGCAGAAATTTAGCAGCAGAGGTAGAAGTAGAAGATGAATTGCACGTAATTAAGGAGAAAGTGTACCCTTAACTAACTGAGGGGAGATCAAGGAGGACATGCAGCTGCCACCATGCCACCCGCCGCACTGCAGAGGCAAGCAGTGCCGATAGCTAATCCAGGCAAAAAGTTTGTCTAGGATTGATGACATGGTAGACTCGCCAAGTAAGACACACAACCTAGTGCTACGGACTTACCACAGGGGTTCTGCCAAATCCCACTGAAAGCAAGGAAAAAAAAAAAAAAGAAAAAAAGAAGAAAGAAAAAAGAAATTTCTATTCCTCACTGAAACAGAACTTTTGAAATCCCTGCAGCTACCTTTAGGACTCATTAATTCTGAGCCAGCTGCATTCTGCTCCATCAAGGAAGTTGGACTAGATAACCTCCAGAGCCACCTTCCAGCCAACATTTCTATGGTTTTATGTTTAAAAAAATTAAAAACTTCAGGAAGCTAACATATGCTGGGCTAAATGACTGGTCAGTAAGGCAAAGTTAAGGCAGAGACTCCAGCACTGGCCATACGGTTTAACAATTAGCACATTTCAGAGTTTTGGCCCAGGTCACCTTGCACGCTCCTGGATAACGCAGGATGAAGCAGGTGCCAGAACCACTCCCAGCAGGCAGGCTGGATGACAGCACCCGGGTTTTGGCAGAGGGCTGACAGCTTAGCCACTGTGGACAAGACCTGTACCCTGCCACTTGGCAGCCGAAGCCAGAGAATGCTGTCCTTAGCCTGCACCTCTTTTATCTTTTTATTTAATATAGAGATAGTCTCATCTCAGTGATGTAGCTGCTATGTTCTGACCCTGTAAGCACAGCACTTCAGTAGATCCTCTGGTATCTTTGCTCACACTTGGTCTAGTAGCAAGTAGTTTCGATGTCTCCTAGGCATCCTATAGGTCCTTTCAAGCCTCAACACCAGCCTCCTTCCTGGAGAAAACACAGTGACAGTGTGAAGAGGTTTGCAACCAACTTTTGGCCTGATACGAAGCTAGAACAGGATAAGGGTGGGTATATGAAACTGAGAGCTACAAAACAAAAAAATTAAAAACTGAGGGGCTCAGCAGGTTACAGAATCTGTAGCACTAATTCAAAAACATAATTCGGCAAACATTGAAGTATGTCTATAGGAAATCTTGGGACTGAGGTGGCAAGAATATCATGGTTTCATCTCAGTGCAACAGAAAGTTAGTTCTAATTACTTGTTTTGCTTTGCTGACAAAGCATTTTACATTGTCTGCCAGGTCCTAAGCACAGCAGGAGGGAGTTATGGGCAGGTTTAAACTTGCCTTTTTAAGTCAAAACTAGAAATTAAGTATACATTATACAATATTTTTATGATATTATTTAATTACAAGGACTAGAACAGAAGTTTTATAATAAGGGAGTTCATTCACCTCTTAGGAAGCAAAAGCTCCAAGCAGCACATACGTGATTGCACCAAGTTTAATATCCTGTCTCCAGCAGTAGTCAGTATTTAATGCTTCAGTGGAAAGCAACGGGATGAGAAATCCAGTCACAACCACTGCAGATACATGACTGCTTCCTCATCCTTGCAGTCAATCTCCCCTAAGCATAAAGTTGAAACATTGCTATACGACAGTGCACAGCCTCTTATAAATTCATTTGACTTGCTCTCCTGAGGCAACAAGTTTCATAGTAGTTTATGGGGAGAAAAAGCCCACAACAAAACACATCTCCCAAAACTATAGCCATAGATCCTTCAAAATCACAGCAGTTTCAGTCTTTACGGTATTTTGGACAGTAAACAGCAGCTGAAGCATGCCAGTGTCTAGCAGCATGCTGTACTAGATAGAACTCCATGCATACAGGTTCTCCCCACAAAGTGGAAATAGCTGAAGAGAAGTCACTGAGCTCTTCCTGCTCTTGTACAGTGATATTTCTGTTTCAATTGCCAATAGTAATTATATTACAAGGGAGGTACAGTGCATCTGCTGATCCCATATGGAATTAGGAAATGTCTTTGTACTTGTGGAGGTGTGCAGGGAGGGAATGGAGATGGAGACACAAATGGAAGAGCAGCATCAAGTTACTCATCCCAAAGCTGAGGAGCCTGCCTGACTGCTGCAGTTGCCAGAAAGCACCCGGCATGTTGTTGCCTACGCTCTCAATCTCACAGCTGTGCAAACCTTAACAGCCTGCCTCTCTAGGGAAGTCCCCAAAGCATCACAGCCTCTTCCTAACACTGTTCCAATTTTAATGTGGTAACTGCAGTGTTCATCAGCCAGAACAAGGGAGAAAAAGTGAGCAAAACACTGTGCAGGTCTGAAAACACTTGTGTACTCAGTTACTATTCAAACAGATTCTTTCCAATTATGAGTTAACGATTCCCAGAACAAGACATGGGTTCCCATCAAAAGGTATCCAACTCTTGAGAGTAACGTACAGGGAGCAATGGTCCCTGATAAAGCTCTCTTGAGTCTGCTCTGGGAACTGGTCCAGATTCCCTAGGGCCAGAAAACAAAGCAAGGGGAGTGACATGCAATCTCCACAGGTACCCATTGCCATGTCACAGTTACACCTGCTCAGCCTACACCCTGCAAGGGCACAGGGGCATACAAATGGTTGATTACTGCCTGTTGACTGAGAAACAGCTGCTTTCAATTAAGAAATCAGTAACTTTTAAATTATTCCAATGCCCTCATATTTGACCAGTTCTCAGATCAAAACCCCTTTCCTAGAAGGCTTGGCCCACCTGTCACCAAACTGTCTTCTTCAAAGGCATCTGAACTTTTTCAGCATCTCACTTTCTCACTTTGAAGTTCCCTTAGCCTAAAGGCTGCTTCTGCACATACCCAGAAGTTACAGATATTTGACATGCCTGAATAACTTCATGTCCAGGTCTCCCTGGAAGCCTGAAACTTGGTGTTCTTCCAAGCAAGGTGTCTAAGAACAAAAGGAAAATGGAGTATGAGTGCAGAGCATGTTGAGAAGGAAAAGGGACAGAATGGTTGGGCTCGGCCTAAACCCATGAGTGACTGCTTCTGTACCTGAAGGCTGGTTAATGCAGTACAGCACTTGGCATGCTACCTGTGCACTCTCTTTGGACTATGAATCTTGGCATTATTTTCAGTATATACAGTGAAACAGTCTTCACCTAAGCAAAGGACAAGGGTGCTCTCCGCTAAGCTATAGCTTATAGTTCAGTTATTACTGAACAACAGACTCAGCTCTCCAGCATCCTGGTGAGTTCCTTAGCTGTTAAACTACTGTGTTAATTACAGAAAACCCATTCAGCAGCAGATCTTTACAAGAAAGATGTTTTAAGAGGAAGAGTGACCTACGCTCTCTTCTAGAAAGGGAAGGTTTATGAGCTTGCCTTCAGAAGCGGGCAGTGGGCTGTGACTGCGGGCCATAAGGAGCTTCGACAGCAAACAGCTTCCATGCTGAAGGGTAACCACCCAGATGTTGGGATTAAAACATTTAACTTTCAAGCATCTAACCTCTAATTGCCTTGCTGCTTATTTCATTAAGGAGATGTGATTTAGTGACTAATCCTGAAGCTTTACTCAGAGGCAAAAGACCTACAGTCCTCAATGACCACAGCCTATCCTTACTACATAAAAGAAAAAAAAAAAAAAAAAGGATTCCTGCTCAAAGAGTCTCATTGGAAGGGCAGAGTATTTTACAGCTGTCTCGACACTGCTAAGAAACACACACTTCTCCCTACAGTATGTTACTGGACCTCTGCATCAGCAAACGAGCTCTGCTGGCACTGTGATTTTGCCTTGTCTTCAAACACAATGGGATTTTGATCAATTCTAAAACACTTTAAAAAGGAAATGTTTGAAAACCAAAGCAGCTGTATTAAATGATAGGATCTCTGGGGAATGATAGCTGGGCCATTTTCAAAATTCTTTTTCTGAACATTGATCCCTCTCCCCTTCAATAAAAGGCTACTAGATTCCTTTAATTTATCTTCTGGCCACCTTAAAAGTCAACTCAGCTTTCTTAACACCCCTAACTACCTCTTTAAAACATTAAGTTTGCATATCACAGCAAATGTAATGTCAAGATTACAATTTAAATATTTAGTCAGAAGCTCCCTATGAGGAAATACACCTTACACTACACAATGCCGGCTTGAATTGAGAAAACATTAACACTTGAAATTAGAGTGACACAGTATTTAGTTGTAGCCTACACACTTACTTTCAAAAATATTTCCAATCATTATGACTTCAAATAGGGAGGAAGTGAAGT